TCAGTCATTAAGCGTCTGCCTTCGGCTCAGGTCATGATCTCAGGGTCCTGGGATCGAGCCCCGCATCGGGCTCCCTGCTCTGTGGGAAGCCTGCTTCTCCCTTTCTCACTCCCCCTGCTGGTGTTCCCTCTCTCACTGTGTCTCTCTCAGTCAAATAAATAATTAAATCTTAAAAAAACATATTAAAAAAAATCCAAAAATGGCTTCCAGGCAAAGATCATATCTAGGGAATCTTAAGAAAACAGGATCTGAAAATGATGCTAAGGATGTGAATATAAATCTTTGTTAAGAAAGATCTAAGGTGGTGCCTCAGGGAGTGGTTCAGTCTGACAATAGGACTCCTAAGAAAGCATTGTCTGTCAGCAGTCTATGCAGAAGCCCAGAGTACATAAGGGCTTATATCAATAATATTTGTGGCTATGGCTTTCATTTAATTAATGGTTAACCTCAGTAGGATTCATAGAAGACCCATAAAGATTTTAAGAGAACTGTTTGCAGAATTTTGTTGGTGATATACTAATTCTCTTATCATTCTGATAGAATGCATGTTTGCTGTTTCAAGGCCCCAAATTTGTGGTAATGTATTACATTGCAATCAATAACTAATACAGAATATTGTATAGCACTGAGAGTTAATGGTCTGCAACTATACACAATAACTCATAATGCTGAAAGAAAAAGCCAGACACAGATTACATTCCGTATGATACTATTTATTAAATAGTATGATAACTATTTATTAAATACAGGCAAAACTAATGAATGATATTTGTAGTACGGATCATAATTATCTCCAAGGGGAAGGATAGTATCTAGAAGGGGTCAAAGGGAATCTGGGTCCTGATATTAAAGTTATATTTCTACATCTGAGTGCTGATTATAGAAATGTGTTTAGTTTGTGAAAATATGCTGAGCTGCAAACTTATAATCTGTATACTTTTCTGTATGTATATTATACATGAATACAAAGTTTAAAAACATGTGAGAACAACAACTGTAGTCTGCTTTTGGAAATATTCAGAAAGGATTTTCTTTGGGGTGCCTGGGTGGTTCAGTTGGTTAAGCGTCTGACTCTTGATTTTGGCTCAGGTCATGATCTCAGGGTTGGGAGATCGAGCCCTGCATTGGGCTCCATATTGGGCCTGGGTGTGGAGACTGCTTGAGATTCTCTCTCTTCCTCTCCCTCTGCCCCTCCCCTGCTCTAGGAAAAAAAAAAAAGAAAGAAAGAAAGAAAGGATTTCCTTTAAGCAGTACACAAAGTTGCAGTTGGGTGGTTTTTCTGATAGTCACCTTGGGTTACTCATGTCACTGCAGCCATCTGGCAGCTCAGCTGGGGCTGGATAGTACAAGTTGCCATCAGTGGGAGGTTGGTATTGGCTCTTGGTCGAACCTCTCGATTTATGTGGTCTTTTATCCTCCAGATAAGCTAACCTGGGGCATGGCAATGTCAGGGCAGCAAATGGGTATGAATGGAAGCTGCCAGACCTGCCTTGCTTGTAATTCACACAGCATTCTCTCTCTCTCTCTGTATATATTATATATATATTTTATATATATATAATATACATATATAAATATATAAGCATAATATATTTATACTATAATATTTTATAATAAAATTATATTGTAATTATAAATATAAATATATATTATGTGTAATATATACTTAGTTATTCATTTGTCAGAGCCAATCATCT